GGCGGCCTCTTTCCTCGTTCCCTGAGCCTGGCGGGGGGGGGGGCACATTGCGCAGCGAAGGGTGGGCGGGACCACTCTAGCGAGCTCAAGGTCGCGCATTCGCGCGGACACGCACTCGCCTGCACAAGTGCGGGCGCAAACACCGCCTCGGGCCACCGCCCCCGGGGCGAGGGCCGTGCCTTGTGGGGCGTGGAATGGCGGGTGCCATCGCGCCCAATGACAGAGGGGCGAGCTAGGCCCCCTGCGGCCGGAGAATGATGGGCTCTTCCACCTCGGTCGGGAAGGATGAGAACCGAGCAAAAGACTGGTTCTCCCGGGCTATAGTCAGCCGCAGGGGAGACACCACAGGGGAAAGGGCCCGACACTCAAGACAAGCCGAGCGCGCGCAAGAGAGAGAGAGAGAGAGAGACAGCGACAGAGAGACAGAGGGCGAGAGGACGACAGAGGGAAAGGGCAAGTCCGAGGGACAGGAGATCGCCGCCGGTGAGCACACACTGCCCGGGAGCAAACGCCGAAAGCGAGACGCATGGCCGGGCTGCAGCTGGCCGTGGCTGGTTTGAGGCCGCGTCACACGCGCGCGCGCGCGCGCGTGTCCCGCCCCCCGCCGTCCGCCCGCCGCCTCTCCGGGGCCCATTTCCCCGGTATTCGGGGTGTGAGGTGGTGTGTCGTGTGCGACGTTGCGCCCAGGGCGTTCTTGGATGGTTGCTGCTCGCTCGGGCATGCCGCGCACCGGCCCCCGCACTCCGCGCGCCCCGCCCGGGCCTGGAGCCTAACGGCCTCAGGCGAACGGAGTAGGGTGCACGGAAGTGGGCCAAATTCCTGCGCAGCGCACCAGGGGCGAGGGGGGATCAGATCGCGCGGCCCCCCCCCCCCATCTGCGGACGCCGGCCCAGAGCCGGGGACAAGGCCGGGGGGGGGGGGGGAGAGTCTGAGAGTGAGAAAGAGAGCGAGCGAGCGAGGGGAGGCAGTTCCACGCCCAGCCGCAAAAGTGCCTCCTCGTCCGAGCCGGCCGCCGGCCTGCTCCTTGGCCCGCCCCTCGGTCCCCGGCCGCCGGCCCCCGCGCCCCAGCCCGATGAGTGAGGCGCCTGCCGGCGGCCCTGCACCGTCCCTGCCTGCCGCCTGCGCGCTCTGTTCGCCGGCGCATTTCCGACTGACGTCCCCCCGGGGGCGCGGGGTACAGGGCCGCCCGCAAGCGCCCTTTGATTTCCCCAGGCCAGCACGCCCTCGCCATCTCCCCAGCCTTGGACAGCCGCAGCAAGGCAAGCTCCGCCTCAGGGCAGCGCGGTTTCATCCGGACAGAACCCGCTGGGCTGCCTGATAAACAGCATGGCAGGGCGAGAACGAGGCCCGGGGAGGGCCCGGCAAGCCCCCTCCCGGAGAAGCCAGGAATGCCTGCCCAGCGAACGACCATGGCGCGCCTGTCGGGCTCTGCGCGTGGGGCTGGGGTGGCATCGAGGCCTTAATGAAGGGCTGCCCTTCTGAGGGGCGGCGGCGGCGGCGGCGGCGGCGGCGGCGGCGGCGGCGGCGGCGGCGGGGAGG